TTCGCTTTCAAAAGATATTGGCGCTAATAATTTTGATTAAAAATTAGGTACTCATTACTAGCTACTTTGAGTGATATTTGATATTTTTTTAAGTTTCATCTTGGAAACAGTTCTTCATATTAAATTTATATAAATGTAACCACCATTTAATAAAAAGCAAATTAAACAACTAGCAGTTTATCTCATTTCAAAAGGAATTACAAGCTGATGATACAGTTCATCTTGTTCATCCCATTCGCTTGGCAGCTGTTGGGTGCTGTATTTCAGATGCTGATGTGCGTGCATAAGTGGTGAATTTTTAGCAACATTTCCATTCAATAACTTCAGATCAGACCTCAAATTATGCCTATAGGACTGAGGTACGAGTACTGCTCTTCCAACATATTGTTAAGATCGACTTAAGTGCTATTTTGGCGACTAACATTTAATTGAAAAATACACTGAAAGAACTATATTTTGAACAGATTTAACTTTTGAAAGCGAGCTAACTTTTTAAAACGCTCTTAGGTCTTATTTTTCTAGTGATCTTTCCAGAATTACGCGGGTTACGCCAGTGTTGATACATGTAGGGAAAATTCCCTACCCTTAGAGAAATTGAAAAAAGTGAGTGCAGGGAAAAGAAGGACAAATTTGTATAAATACGTTAAATTTAGCGATTTTTCGAAAAATAGTAAATGTGTATGTAGAAAACTTTTTTTCATTCAAAATGCAAATATGCAGATAAGTTCAAATGGCAACTTTTTATAAAGAATATGTTCGAATGGAAGCATCACCACTTCACTTCAACCTCATGTTTTTTTCCAAACTAGCGTTGACAGAATTTTTGCACAAATTGGCGTGTGTTCATTTTGTACATTTTAATTAATTTTTATTCTTTAAGTTGCTTCAATGGCACACTCCATTTATACATATGTAAATATCGATGGTCCTCTAGAATAACAACACAACCTAAACACCCCTTAATCCTGTTTAAAGGGACTAATGTCTCTAATCCTTGTATATTCGTAACCAAAGTAAGTAATAAGGGTTACTAAAGTAAGTAGTAAGGACACGATTTACAAAGGAATGCTCCATTTACGAATTGCTTCTTTTGCTTTTCTTTTTTTTCGCTCTTGGTTGCTAGGAGTATTATTGCTTGCTATTTTGCTGCAGTTTAGCAGCTTCGCAAAGCTTTTTTGAAATGCGTGTGTGTTGGACCAATGTGTAATAACCAATCGTTTTGTGCCCTACAATTGCTCAATACCAACATAACTAGCTTCAATTGGGACCATAATAGGAACGTTTGATTTGATGGTTCTCTTCTTAGCCATAACTACAGTTGGAATGCTTCATAACTATCAAACATTCGTTCATTGTGTTCGATCAGAAAAAGTGCGCAGAAAAAAAAGTACATACATCTGTATGTACTATGTATGTAAGCACCTACTATAAATATGGACATACATATGCATGAATGTATACCGCTGCTGTAGTTTAAATATGTTCTTTAAAAATAAAAATATACATATGCAAATAGATGCATACATGTATATAGGCACTCATTCTTTAGAAGTGATAAACTCAAAATTTCCCATTTTTTAGAAAACACGAAAATCTGTTCCATTAGTGCGTGTTAGATAATCATATGCCGCAAACTACAACCAAATATTGATTTAACTTTTCTTTTTCTTTTCTTTAAGAACTATGAACATTTTTATTACTACATAATATCGAAGATAGTTTGCGAGTTAAGGTAGTACGGCCACCAATAAACCAGTGTGGCTTGAAGGGTATAAAACACATTGAAATGTGTTTAAATACCACTTCTCGTGAATTGGCACGAATTTAATTGAAAAAAGGGAATATCGAAAAAATAGTTTAGTTCGAATTAATTGGCAGCGGTTTGATCACTAACAAAGCAGTTATGGTCAATCGCTTCGCTGTTATTTCATTATTCCAATAAAATTTCAATAAAAATTTTTGCGTGAAAAGTTAGATTAACTCAAATGAGACTATTAATATAGTCTCTTCGAAATGAATGTGGAAAAAATGCAATATTAAAATTCTACAGAAGTTTAAAACATCACTGGAACCACCAATGGTAACTGCAAAGGCGTAGCGAGGATCTAAGCCAAAGGTTAATATATCAATTAAAATGGTTTTTGAACAAATTTCGTTCAAACATTTCTATACCTCAAATTTGGAGCAAATTTTTTAATTATTTTCTTCTTAATCATATCGCGGCTTTTTTTAGTCCTTTCTCTACTATCCTGCGTCTCCGCCATGTTCTTACCCTGCGAAATATACTAAGTGATCACTGCACCGTAACTGTTGTTCATCAAAAATTATTCAAAATGGAAATACACTAGTACACTTATTAATCGCTAGTATAAATTTACAATGGGGTATGGTTGTTTTTCTGGTTATACAGGTTCACTTGCATGACTATACTTAATCCTGTTCCCGCATTCTGGCCAACGTGAACAGCCAACGTGCGAGATGCAGTAGCGAAACCATGTGAAGCCTTGGGTCACGGAAGAAAGATAGGAGCCCTCGGAGGGCCACTACGACTTATTCGGTTCAAGGTCACACTAAGGTCCAGAGTTTCTGTTTGGCTGTAGACGTTGCTAAAAGCGGCCTTCTGTTGTCTTCGAGCAAGTGGCTTGTTATATATGTATATAACTGAGCATCTATAAGAATTATCCTAGTAATGGGTTGCGCACTGGGCCATTTAAAAGACAGTTCCAACAATGGAAATTCCAAAATAGCACCGCTTAATTAATCAGAGTTGGAAATATTGGCCGATATGTACATACTTTAAGGTGGACCTAATTCGTATGAAGCTAAAACCCCTACTTTTTAGGTGGGATACCATTCAACAACGTGAGTTTGGTAGAAAAATTATGAAATATTAAATGTAAGCGCAGTGTGCGGTTATTTAGAACTTTCGCCTTTTTTTTACTACACAAGTTAAAAAAATGGTAACAAAAGCTGTTATCGACAATTTTTTTTAACTGATTACCAACTCATCTATAGAAACCTTCCGTCAGCTCCAGACTTTAAGAAAAACGCAGTCAAAATAAAAAATGGCTTTTTTGGCAATTTTTGAGAAGCCTTAGCGAAGAAACAAAAGAAGATAGAACCTTGACACCTTAAACACGTTATTCTCAAAATCGTCAATCGAAAACCAATAAAATCGATAAAAAATATCGATAGCAAAATCGATAAAAATATCGATAACGAAATCGGTAAATAATGGATAACTAAATCAATAACACTATAAAATTGATAAAAAATATCGATTACAAAATCGATAAGAAAATTGATTAAACTATCGATAAAAAAATTGACAAAAGTATTGATTATGTCGATAAGTCCTAAAAATTTCGATAACAAAATTGATAAAAATATCGATAAAAAAATCGATAAAAAATATCGATTATTCTATCGATAACTACCGAGAACCCCGAAATAGTTCCCAGATTAAGTCTCTGTGGCTCTATCTACATATATCCATTTCTCTATAGTTACCTTTATTTTAATCATTCTTCCTCTATCTTCATCTTTACTTTTACCTGTAAATTCTTCTTTTTCTTTATATTTATATTTATCTTTGTTTTTATTTTTATGTTTGTCAATTTCTTCACCTTTGCCCTTAGATAAATAAAATGTTTAAATTTACCTTGATCTTCATTTTTGCCTTTATTTTTACGCACCTTTTGTTTTTTTATTTACCTTTGCGTTTATCCTTTTCTTTATCTATGTACGTCGTCACTTTTACTTTCATTCTTGTATTGATTTTTTCTAAATGTTATTCTTTAACCTTTTATTAGCAAGTTGTTGTTAAATTAATACCATATTCATTCACACAAGAAGCACTTGTTTCAGCCCCAGCCATTTTATACCTTTAATGGAATTATAGCTTTGGTTTAATATTTGTACGAATGTATAGGTACCAAATAATTGTTTCAAGACATAATAAAAGGTTCATGCTAAATTTTCTTTCATTCATGAAAGGTATAAAGATTTCGGTATGGCCGAGAGCAGAACTGTCCTAGCTGGTTCTTTGCTTCGTTTGTGACTTAAGGAAGTTCATTATATAAACCTTTTTAATTAAAGAATTTATACATGCGATGACCATCTGTTCTTCTTTCTTTCTTTCTTGAAAAATTACCAGACAACTTACTTTATTTATATGGTACGAAAAATGTTCTCTATTTCATTTTGTGTTCTGCATTTGTCTGATATTAGCTGCTGAATTTATGTACTATCTCTTAAAAGCTCATAAGAATGAAATCAGGTTAATTTTAAGACTTTAAGGTTTTCCGTCACACAACAAAGAGCAAACTATCTTATATTATATAAGAAATTAGTGTTCAAAGGATGAGCATTTATTTATAGCCGTCGAACATGAGGAACACAATTTTATCAATCCAATGAAACTCAGAGAAGCTGCGTTCCATTTTTTAACGTATTTGTATCATACGAATAAAGAATTACAAAATCAAAATCGAATTTGAAAAAAAAATGCATTTAATTTCAACGACTTTACTCAAAACAAGATATGTATATATAACTGAGTTTCTAACTCTAATAGCGATTTTGGTATTGTAACTAATTTCTAAGAAAGTAATACGCTTGAGAACTATCTATTCATAAGCTATTTATAATCACCCTATATGCCGGCAAATAAGTAGGTAATTTAATTTTAACTTTTCCCTATAGCAACACGCACTTGAATGCATTTACGAACGTACACAGTTTTATACTTAACTATCCACCAATTTTTTCCATTGTTTTTATTTCTTTTCATGTATCGCTGTTCCGGTAACTCATACGCCATGGATGTCTACTACGTGTTCCCACACCGACGCGCTATTAAATGCTGCTGTTGCTTTCATTTGGAATGCTATTGCTTTTCTCTACGCTCTACTTACAATAACATCGCTTTGCTGCAATCTACGTGCCTTCGCCGCCGCTGTCGACGCCTACGTCACCACCACTATAAACGTCATTACCAGATGGGCGCACTAATGAAAGAGTCACATACATCACTACGTGACGATTTCGAAGTATCCTGCCGTGAATTGGATGTCCTGGTCGATGCGGCCATTAATTGTTCTGGTGTTTTGGGATCACGTATGACTGGCGGTGGCTTCGGTGGCTGCACCGTTACGCTACTGCAACGCAATGCCGTTGACGATGTGATTGCGACGATGCGTACAAATTTCATTAAAGAATTTAATAAAGAAGCCGCTGACCATTTGGGATTCTACATGTGTATACCGAGCAATGGTGCGCGACGTGTCGATTTGTGAGGTAGCAATGGAGAAAAAAATGAAATAATAGTTGTTGAAGAAATTGGAAAATATGCCAATAAAGCAAAATATTTTTAGAAATGCTGGTACAATTTATTAAATAAATTAAATTGCATTAACCGGTTTTATTTTGTTATAAGTGTACGTATTAGAAGTAGACTAGCTATATACTTACCAGCTTGATATATACACTATATGTGGTCAATATAATTGATAATTCCATCTTATTCGGTGCCCCTCGCCCACGCGGACAGGGCCAGTAAGCTCTCTTCAAAACACGCAAAACCTCTTCAACATTGGTCGACATCGTCCATATTTCTGCGCTATATAAAAGAGCGTGAAAGTTTTGTTGCCCATAACTTTTCTTCGTCGAGAAATAGCTTCGGTTTTCAATTGCTTACCGAAACCAAAGTAGCACTTGTATAGTATCAATTGAAATATAAAAGTATAACACACATATCTACTAAGAAAAAGCAGTGGTGACAAACGGTGCTAAAAAATATCTACAGTCGTAAGTTGGTTCAATCCTTCCAACAGAACAGTGTGTTGAAATTGCCTCAACTATCATTAAAGAAAAAGTTTAAGCTACTTAACTGACATCTGTGTAGTAATTTTTCATTTCAAATTTTAACAGCGGAACGTATCCACCATGGCAGAATGAGAAATTTTAAGCACAGTTTTTGAACCTAAAAACATATATATCGGCGCTGCCTTTGCAAAATCGCTCATCAACCAATTGCCATTCTTTGAGGGCATTGCCTTGAGAAGTGGTATTTTGTCTAGCTATTATTTTACAAATCTATTGTTTTAATAACGATTTTATGATTTTTATGCATAAATCTCGATGTATGGAGTTCAGGGTTACCAAATCTCACTTTTGCCATAACGGCAACTCAACTCAACTCTGTCAGGAAAAAGTGCGGAGAACTCCGTAGCCCACTAAAGGAGGTTACAGATAGGATGACTCACAAACATGCGACTTCTTTTATTCAATATTAATGGAGAGATTAAGAACAACTTTGTATAAGAATGTACAATTGTTGGCATTTGCGGGTGATTTAGATATCCACTTGTGGTCAGCTGATTAAGTCAAGTGACATTTTGACTAGTTTTGGCTATTTTTATTTTGTTTATTTAGTGTTTATATTTTGTTTATAAAAGTCTAGCACTTTACCTAACCTACATTTCAAACATCGTACAAAAATTATGAAAATTTAACAAACATTTGCACCCAAAAATGTTAAACTTTTTATTAAGAATTTTTAGAAAACGAAATTTTCGAGCATACTTTATATGGAAGAAAGTGCACAACACCGTCAGCAAAAAAAAAATATTAAAAACTAACGCGATTTTCTAGCGTATTGAAATTTGCACCTTAACCTACTAAAATTTAATAGCTACAAAATTTTTCTAAAAATTCTGAAATTCTAAAATTTTCAGGTGCAAACGTTAAAGTTTGTTGAATTTTCTAAATTTTTGTACGAAGTTTGAAATGTGAATTTATGTGGCGTTGGATAGGTAAAGTAATAGGCTTATAATAAATATAAGCCTCCGTGTATCATCGGTTCTACTGGACCGATTATGTAGATGATGAAAGTTTTTTTTTTGGCTTCAACATTACATATGTGTAGTTTTTGTTGCAAGTTCTTTAATTGGAATTGTATTTGATATGTTTACGGTGTATTATTTTCGAATTTTATTGCGAGTAGGAAAACGATTACGAACACGAATGCGAGTAAGAAGACAAATACGAAGACTAAGATAAATACGAAGGCATACTTCAACAAAAATACGAAAATAAGAATGAAAGGAAGACGATTTCTAACATGAATGAAAGAAGGAGGACGAATACGAAGAGGAAGACGAATACGAATACGCCAGCACAGTTCATCACACAAGATGAAGACAAAGATGTTTATCAAGAAGAATTCGAATACGAAGACGCACCCAAAGATCAACGTTAGTAGGAAGAAGAATACGGTGAAGAGCATAAATATGATGATTTCGAAAACCAATACAATTGCAGAAATGATACGAATACGAAAACGAATACGAAGACAAATGCGGAGATAAATACGAAAACAACGACGAAGATGAATGCGAACAAGGATACGACAACGAATACGGAGGTGAATACGATGACCAATATAAATAGTAATAATACGCATAGGATCCGAAGACGACTACATGAATACGAAGATGAAAGGAATACGAATTCGTATATGAATGCACCCACTAAAATGAAGAACAAAAAGTCTTTGAGACACTTATTAAAGAAGCTATAGAAACAGTTGAATTTTTGCAATAGCTGGTACTCCATTTTCGTAACAAAGATTGTGTGGAAGATTTGCCTACCTTCCGCTTTGGCAAATACCGCAGACACGTGTACACAAACGCTCCAGCCCTGAAAGTATTCAACGCAGAACCCGGTGGTAGTAGCAAAATAAATGGGAGGCTTCCTCTGTGAGGAAAATATCCCTTTAGCTTTAATTGAAATGATTTGAAAAGCTGGCTAAACATTGAATACATACATATGTAAATATGTGCTAACAAAAAATATAAGATGAAGATGATTTTATAAAGAACAACACCTTGTCTTTAATGGAAAACTTAAGCATAGAAAAGTTCTCGGCATCATAATTCTAGAGTTTTTATATCTGCTTTAGGCTTACAAGCGCATATGATGTATGATGTATTGTATATATCGCTCGACTGCTGCAAAAACGTTATAATGAAGAAGATGTTTTATTGAGCTCATTGTGCAAAAACGACTACCATACTTAATAATTTATATTGCGTGAAGAATTCGTCAATTAGATGAGAATTTTGGAACTAAACTCTTCCTTACATTGCTAATAAACAATATAGTAAATAGAAAATAATTAATTTGCCAAAGCAAGAAACCAAATCATTGTCAGAGTATTACGTTTGTTATATTTTTGCTGCTATTATTTTCCTCGTTCAAGTGGAAAATCGTATATCTAAAAAACTGATGATACGTTTTTTTCGCATTTCTCACTTTATTGAGTTAGGCCATTATATTAGTTAGCGAACGATATCTTTATTAATCGAAACTAAATAGACGTGCAAAAGTACCGTATAAAAAAAGAGCAAGTGCTTTTAAAAGTTTTAAAGTACAAGAAATCTGCGCTTCAAAAACATTTCAATAAATAGCTGCGCGAAAGGGTGCAAGCAAAATAAAAACAACGTGTGTTAAAAAGAAGCTTAAGGCAAAAATAATTACAACGCTTAAAAAACTTTCTTGTAAAACTGTGGATGAATAGCAATCACTAAGTCTTTTTTTGCTCTTGCTTCTTCATGTAAACTTTTCCACTACATACTTATGTACCGTTTGCGCGAAAGGCAATGAATTTTCGAGATTTTTGTCCGTGAAGTTACTTACTCTTTATTAAGGCTAAACGAATTCAAAGCAGTATTCCAAAATGGTTTGACTAAGTACATATTTTGTAAAAATAATGGTTGTCTTCGCAACCGAGTTTGATTTTTATTTTTATTTTTTAACAATTAAATCTTTTCAATTTATGTCGATGTGCGAGTATCATTGCGCTATATTCTTGTATGTATGTATGTGAGCCAAGGCGAATTCATCGATTCAACAAATACAACAAATGCTGGTATTTTGTTTTTGCTTTTAGCGGGCCATTTTCAAATTTTAGCTATTCTTCCCCGAATGAAAAAGAGCGACAGAAAATACAAACACTCTCACGTTTTCACTCACTCACTAGCGAAATACAAAATTTTGACAATCAAACGCTACTCACAGCTGATCAAACAACACCACTTTATATAAATTCGCCTTGTATGTAAGTAAGAAAATTTTAAGTACTTCCCTGCAAGAGAGCAAAATAAAGTGACAAACAAGCGGTTATAGAATGGGTTAATACTCCATATCGAGTTCTATTGATTGCTAAGAAAATAACCGTTTTATTTTTAGTTTTATTTATTCCTCAGAAAATGTCCGTTATTTTCTGAGTTCTTTTATTGCTTGGAAAATTACCATTATTATTATCTGAGTTTTATTTTTGCTTAGAAAGTAAAGCTTAATTTTTGGGTATCTTTTATCATGCAAATCCTAAAGTTAAAGAAGCAAGTAAAGATAAAGATAATGGTTGTAATAACAATGGAATGCGTAAATGTAGTTGTAATGGTAATGGTATTGGTAATGGTAACGACAGCGTTAATGGCAAGGTAATGGAAAAAGCAATAGTAATGGTAATGGTAATGGTAATTGTTATGTTAATGGTAATAAGCAGTTATTGTAATAGTAATGGCACTGGGAATAGTAGTGGTAATGGTAAATGGAATCTTAGTACTAAGCGTTATGGTAATGGTGAAGATAATGTAATTGTAATAGAAATGGTAATGGCAATTGTAGTGGTAGTCGTCGTTTTCATGTTTACCTTCGCAATCAACTTCGTGTTCGCGTTCGTTTTCAATAGTGTTCATACGTAGCTATCCTCGTCTTCAGCTTCCTGATCATTCTCTTTTCTATCTTCGTTTTCGTAATCACTCGCATTTCTTGCGGTCTCGGTCTCGGTCTCGGTCTTTGTATCCGTTTTCATTTCATACAAATGTCTTACGTCTTCTTCGCCATATTCGTATTCGTCTTCGCCTTCGTTTTCGTCGTCGTCTTCACTTTCAACTTCGTCTACGTTTCTATTCGGCTTTGTGTTTGTTTTCTACGATCGCCTACTTATGCATGTTCGCTTTCTTGTTCGTCTTCGTCTTCGTCGTAATGACGATTTTTAGCTCACTACCGCTCCTTAAAGAAAATATGCGAGGCTACTTTTGCTTTCTAAGCAAAACAGAAAAAATCAATAATTTAAGTTGTATTTTTTAATAGTTGGTTTCACCAGCAATTTAAATTGAAAATGGTTTTTATTTTCTGTCAATTTCCATGTAGAATGAAAAAAAAATAAAATCATTTTTTCACTTATTGTGATTTCATGAAATTGGCTGTAAGTGCAACTTAAAAAATAACTCTCGTTTTAAGAGCAAAAAATAAAACTTAGAAACAACAATTATTTTTTAAGCAAAAATAAAACTAAAAAAAAAATAGC